GTTTTCATCTAGCGGTGGTGACCAAAGTGGTATCTGATAAACCTGTTCAGACTGTTTCCTTTTGTCAAACAATGGCTATGGTATGGAGACCAGTGAAAGGGGTCTCCATAGATGAAATCGAGGACTCAAAATTCTTACTACAATTTTATCATGAAGGTGACCGGAACAGAGTTGTGGATGAAGGGCCTTGGTCTTTTGAACAGAATTTGGTGGTTATCAAACGCTAGGAACGTACTGATAAACCTTTGGAGATTGCACTGCACCATGCAGACTTTTGGGTTCAGGTTCATGATTTACCGCTAAGTTACATGACGGCAAGGACTGCACGGGGAATAGGCAACATCATTGGTAAGTTTGTGCAACTGGATGAGAGCTACTCTGGCGGAAAGCAAAGGTTGGTTATGCGCATTAGGGTCACTCTGAATGTTAACTTGGCTTTAACCCGGCGTTTACAAGTTAGACAGGAGGGAGATGACTGGATTTGGGCAAATTTTAAATATGAAAGACTCTCGAACTTCTGTTTTCTATGTGGGATTCTTGGTCACATTGATCGATTCTGTCCCTCTAATCCGCACAGTGGGTGGGAATTGGAGAGAAACCGTATGGGCCGTGGCTTCGAGCAGACATGAGGAGGGGAGGGATGCACCCGGGAAATAGATGGCTCATACCTAGCAACAACAAACTGAGCGTAACGCAGAGGAAATTAGTAGAGTCTGATCAAGAGAAATGGGAACAGGAGAGCTATCCGGTGGAAGGACTTTTGGCAAAAGGAAAAGAGGCTACCACAGCACGGGATACACCTAGAAAGCGTCGGATTACTGATAAAGATAGCGAGATGGAGGCTCAGGCAAGCATGGATGTCGATGAAGCATCTTCAAAAAACTTGGAAGTGGCGGTGCTGTCCAGACAGCACCGCCAGTAACGGGAGAAGATGAGAATATGAAGTTTTTTCCTTTAGCGGAGGCTAGTCAAATCGCTATTTCCTTACTGGTGGCTGGTCAAACTGAATTATGTTCCTTTTCAAACTTTTTAGTCCCGAACTCTGCTTTGCTCTCTCATTTTCATTCTAGTAGCAGGTACAAGAGTGCTGTGTATGGAGTCTACCACATTGTGGGGTTAGCTAGATGGACCGCTAGTAAACCCGATTCGAGCTCTGAGTCTCACCCCAACGTAGCCTTTGTTATGGCGAATTTGTATCTGATACTCAATTTTATTATTAATTAAGTTATTTGTTTTCAATAAAAAGAAATTTAGAATGATCCAAATGTCAAATATCTAACAACCAATTCATCGTTGATCAATCGTATCACAAGCTTCGACCCCAGTAAGTCCATTTCTTGGCAGGTTTTCCAGATGCAAAGCACATTACTCCTGTGGGGAAAAAAACAATGTACAAATAAATACGTCAACTAACCGTATCAAAACAAATAACACAATATGAAAGTAATGAAACCATGAATAGTTGATAACAATATCAAGCTTAGAGCTTGTTGGGTAACGCTGAAATTGACAGAGTTAGCTGATTCTGCTGAAAAAATTTATGAAGTTCTAGCTAAAGTGACTGTATTGGTTGATTCGGCTGATTTATGAAAAAATTATGTTTAAAATATTTGTTATTAATAAATAAAATAAAAAATTGTATGAAAAAATAGTTAAAAGGATTCTCTACGTAAGTCAGTAACTTCAACCAATGCAGCCAAAAAAGTAACTACAACCTTACTTTTTCTTATTATTACACAATTCAGCGCGCAAAATCAAAAGTTATGTGTTTGGTGAAATAGCGAGCTGATAAGCGTGATAAACAAAAATAGTTTACCAAACGGGCTCTTAATGTCGCCGTATTTGACTAGCAAATTTCACTTATGCTGTCCAATCTAAAATCTTTTCATAATACTTCTGATCTTATTCCAACCCCAGATTACAGAAGTTTACACCGGACCAAAAAACAAACTCTAAAGATTCAAATAAAATCACTGCATGTTATTTTAATCCTCCAGTAATATTGGGACTGGATGGTTAATTTCATGCAAGAAAAATCTAATAATATCACAAACACAACCAAAAGAAGATACCAACCTAAACCAGACTGATGATTTCCTTTCAAACCACGATTTTTTTCTTTTTTTTAGGCAATCAGAAACGTCCACAGATAAACTGATGTGAGTTAAATCTTTAGATAGTCTCATAGTCTCATTTTCAATTTTGAGAAGTACTATTTTTATTGTCCTATTCCTAAAACAGTTAAAATGAATGAACTAAGAAAAAGTCGTTCTTTCATCACTAATAATATTACCAAGATCACAAGATGAGGGAATCAATATAAACATTACCTTCACATTTTTGCAAAAGTGCTAGACCCGTTTTTACAGCAAAGGGATTAAGTTACAGTTTCATTTCATGTCCTAAAGAACTTTTTTACCTGTGTTCCTATTTATCTGTTTAATTTGACCCATTTTTCATATTTTTAGTTATTTATTTATTTTTATGAAAACTAAGCAAATGAATTATATATTTTTCAACTCATCCATGTTACACAATACACTTTACCCTTTTCCAAAGGAACATAAATGAGATAATAACGGATTTAGATGAATTTACAATCCATCATATATATTTCTTAATTTGGTCAAAGTAAACAAATACTAAGAAACAGGGAGTATATGAATTGAGAGTAAGCACCTTTAGTTAGCTCAGGCTGCTCCAATGGAGAACAAATGCTTTTTATCGAACTCATATTCTCTACTGTTCTTGCTTTCACATCTTTCTCAACAGCCTACACAAATCATATATCAAAATGGAGGAGAGAATCCAGCCACATTTACTCATGTGAGCAGACCTATCTAAAATCGCGGGGCTGACGATAAAGGAAAGATGGGACAAAGACACCAGGACGAGGAAATAACAAACTAATCCGATGCACACAAATTTTACAAGTCAGACAGGTATTCAAACCTCTTCATCACACCATGGAGCTAAGACAACCTTCTTTCTGTTCAGAGCATTCACAAACTCATCCCAGGTGTCAACAATCTCGATACAGTCATCTCGCTTTTGTTTTGCAACGTCAAAAAGATTTTTTTGAATATCAGCAAGTACATCTTTTACATGATCAACCATGTTAGCCAGTGGAATATCAGTTTGAGCACCATTGTCACGCCTCACAACTCTTACCTAACAAAGACACATCGTTTTGTGTTCTTCAATACGCTTCAATGTATAAACAACAATCAAGGGAACCTCTCAGGTTCTATGGTTTCTTACAAGCTATAGTACACACACTGCCCATGGAATCATGGCGAATTCTTATCATCATAGTATTATATTAATATTACTAATTATTAGTATTATTAAATAACACTACTATTGACAAATTACCTGGTCATTGGAAAGGTCTTCAGGATGTATTTCAATCCTAAGAGGAACCCCCTTCAGTTCCCAGTTAGAACATTTCCAGTCAGATGAATAGTGTTCTCTGATGTCTGCCTCCACACGAATGCCAGCTTCCACCAAGTTCTTAAAAGTGGCAGCAGATGCTTCAAAAATCAGTTTGGTGTCAGCATCCTCCTTGTAAGACACAGGGATAACAACCACTTGGATTGGTGCAACTTTTGGTGGAAAAACCAACCCTTTATCATCCCCATGAACCATGATCATCACTCCAATCTGTCGTGAGACAATGAATTACAAACACAAGTAACATGATGATTAACTTAAGAGAAAATCCTTAAACTACTTTTATTCTTTTAGTAGGACTAAAGGACTTCTATTTTTAAGATAAAACATAAACACTCCTATTTGTGCATTTCCCTCATGTGTTCACTCATACTTGCAGCAATTTCTTTAACCTTAACCTGATAGATCCAACGCAAGTAATGAACAATAAGAACAGAAAAAATCAAGCTCAAGAAACAACAATTCTCATTAATGGAGGCAATCTGTACAAGAGTCCCAAAAGAAAGAGATAAAACTCTATCTTTCCCAGTCCCAAACCAAGCGTCAAAACAGCCTACTCCTCCGGCCCAAGTTTATTCTATTTATATAACCTTCCAGCCCCAATCGAAGGTAATTATTAGTTAATAACAAACAACAACTAATAACAACTAATCTACTTCCTTCTTCTAGAATAGACTTCGCCAAATCTATTCTTATTATTAATACTAGCCCGGTCCCTATCATAACCTAGGCAACTCTTGACAAATATGCATGTCTACTTGCCTAGTACTATTGACAGGCAGGGTAATTAGGGAGGGATTAAAATGAGTTACCGCTCTGGTACTGAATGCCCATGAATTCTGCCAAACCTTATCCGTTTTTCCTTTTGTATTCTCAAAATATATCTCAAATGCTTCCGCATAATTGTTCCCCAAGCAGTGCACAGCCGCACCTTGTATACCATTACCAGTGTTCGGAATAAAAGCCTGGGACACAAATGTATCCATCTTACATTACCCATGATAACAACTGACTATTGTAGAAAATATCCAATGTGAAATGTCTTTTCGTGGTAAAGAAAAAGAACCTCAATGGTGGTAGTATAAAGTGCACCAGCAAACTTCTCGATCTCACTTTTCCGTCCCTTGGTGACTGGAACTGCTAAATACTCTTCGTATATACTTCTATACAGCTCAGAAATATCAAGAACCTAAAAATTAAAGGTAACATGAAAAAAATATCAAAAACACACTGTATTTATTATAGTACTTTAGTCATACTCAGGCACAACTGAAGTATCACCGTATCAGGCTATCAAAAGTCAATAGTTTATGCTCTTGGGTTTGGTTAAAAAACAATACAAAATTTAAGATTTTTTTCTCGGTTAGGTCCCCATGTATAAAGAGGTAATTACCTCAGCCTCTGCTTCCTCCTTTGTTGCAAATGCTGTATGCCCTTCTTGCCATAGATATTCATGACTCCTGAAATTACAGATGACTCACTCATGTATAGCATAAAAGCGTGAGGGTGGGGGGATCTAGAAGTAGAGGAAGTTAGAAGATGAGTAGCCCTTAGATAGCAAGCACCTTATGAGAGGAGTGGGATGGCTGGACTGCCACCGCACAACATTGCACCATTGATTAAGTCTCAAAGGCAAATCACGGTGACCTCTAATCCACTTAGAGAAGTAAGGATACATAACTGTTTCACTGCTGGGACGAATTGTGAAAGGGATTTCCACTTCAGACTCTCCGGTTTTTGTAACCCAAGCAAGCTGCAAAAAGTTCAGAACGAAATAAAAAACAGCTATGCAGTGTTCAAATGGCAGTCATTCATGATTACCCCCACTAGCTCATGAAAGAAATATACATACAGATTGATGCAGTCTTACCACAGATTCAAACTGCTCCATATAGTCCTTTTGTTTTTGTAGATTCACAGGAGACACAAAAAGTGGGAAGTAGCAGTTCTTAATCTTCATTTTCTTAATTTCAGCATCAAAGAAGCTCTGCAAAATTTTACAAGATTAGTCAATGCATTTGCAAAGTAGTTTATCTTACTTAGCAAGTCTTGATTTTGAAATTGAAAGACAAAAGAAAGACCAAAGTAAAAAACTTACTTTTATAATCTCCCAGATGGATATAGCCCAAGGAAGCAAAGTGAAAAGGCCAGATATTTCATAGTGCTCAATCACTTCACCTTTAGTGACCACCTATATTATTGTCAAAAGAGAACACTAAACAATTTGAGATCATCGAAGCACTAGCACTTGTGACTAGAAAAAAAACGAATGATATTTTGGTGTGACAAACCACCACATTGAAGCACTAGCACATGAAGAATAGTTTAGGCCCATGTAATGTTCAAGGTGCATTATTTGTGCTGGCAAGAAAAAACTCTTAATGTGCAGATGCCTGGATGATGATGTGAGTTGATTACTGTGCTACATGCAAATCTCTTTTTCCTCAACAAACCTCTCTGTTTTCTTATTAGCATGTTTTTTGTTGAATAATTTCAGTCCAAGACCACAACAAATCCGTTAGGCGAAACTTAAATAAACCAGATCAGACAATAGTAGTCTAAATCAAATCAAATTAATACAATAGTAAAGTACACATAAACCATATATCAACTAGATCAGACTAATTCATATCAGACCAAACTAGACATCAAAAACATCCTTAGAACCCGTCTGGTAACCCATATTTGTGGCTTACCAGCCTTATCAACTGACTTTTTTTACCAAACATGTAACTTTTGATTTCGCGCATTGAATTGTGTAAGAATAAAAATAAGGTTGAAGTTACTTTTCTAGTTGAATTGACTGAAATTATTATAGAGGACTATTTTAGTCATTTTCAATATTTTTTCTTTTATTCTATTAATAAAATAACCCATATATTTTGAATATAATTTTTCATAATTCAACCGGTTCAACCAGTACCATTAGAATTTCAACAATTTGAACAGATCCAGGCATCCAACAAATTCAACCAATTTTAGTGTGACAAAAGAGACTCTTAATTGTTTCCACCTCGTGTAGTTGTAATACAAAATTACAACATAAAACTTCAATGCAAAGGACTAAAATTATAAATACAGTAATTCAATTTAGAGGAATAAGTTATATCATCGTTTACATATAAAGATAAAATGACAACAATAATTTAATGGAACCCCTTTTAAATTAAGATATGTTAGTAATAATAACATGCATTTATAAGTATGTTGTTACATAGTTGAATTTGTAATAAAACTACTTACATATGTTCACATACTTCGATCTAGAATGTAAAGAAACTTCACTGAAGCTTATTTTAATAATGTTACTTCCACTAAAAACAATTTTAATAATTTAAGGTGTAATAAAATAAGTATATTTTTTTTTTAGTTTTTTTTAATTGGTATGTGTTGGAGGGGGTTAGGGGTATATAGGCATCATGGTGTATGACTTTATCCATCTTCAGCACTTACCTCAGAATACCATTTCCAAAAGCTTTCATCTTTTTTGTACGTAAGACCGAGAACAGTCTCTTCTTTTACTTTACTATTCTCCATCTCTGAAAGACCTAAAGAAAAGAAAAACTTATAATTATGAGCTGTATGATGAGACAATTAAAGAAAACTAATCGGAGAAAGTAGAGCATGAAACGTTAGCAGCAATTGAACTGTTTGAATTTTGGCTGTCCAAGGGGGTAATTTTGCAGCAGAAAATGTTCAAGCAAGCCATTAACAACGATGAGTAATTCAAAATTACTAAAACTGAACTAAATACAAATGAAGACAAAATTTTATCACATATACAAGGAGGATGAGAACCGAATAAAAGATAAGCATGAAGAAGAATTTAAACCCATTAACAAGTACGTAAAATCACGTAAGCAAATAAAGCACACGATTAGTAGAGCTAACCAGAAGTTAGAGGAGACCTTTAACAATGCCGGCGAGCAATAGCTAGAGGGCTAGAGGAGGCCGGTTTTAAAACAGCTTATTTTAATGCTTGTTCTCAAGGTGTTCGAAAAATGCCAGAAACGGTCTCAATTACTCCGTATTATTTATAGTAATTGCCTTATTTCCTTATTTCAGACTATACAAAAACTACATACTCCCTCCGTCCAAAACTTTTTCAACTTTCCTTTTTTGGATGTCCCACTAACTTTGTCACTTTTCTTTTTAAGTAAAGAATTTGTGGTTCCAGTTAATTCTCTCTACTCTGCACAAATCTCGACCACACAGTTTTTACTTTATTAATCCCCGTGCCGGTCAAACTTGGCAAAGTTTTAAGGGACGGAGGTAGTATTTACTTATTTCCTTATTTCCTTATACTCCCTCCGTTTTCAAAAGAAAGTCACGGTTTGACTTCACGATTATTAAGGAAATAAATTGATTTTACTGTAGAAAACACTGTTGAGACACTGTTTGACACTATTTGGACACTGTTTAGCACTTTTTGGCACTATTTGGATTTAGATTTCTTTGCCAAATAAGGAAATAAGGGAAGTGTGACTTTGTTTTTGAAATATCTCAAAAAGGAAAGTGTGAGTTTCTTTTAGAAATGGAGGGAGTATTAACTATTACGGGTCACGATCTAATCTAGTTGATCTGATGTGATAGATTTTATTGTATGTGTATTTTATCCCTATCAAAATAGGGTCGATCTGATATTGATCTAGTCAATTAAAATCTAGTCTAATCTAATTTTTTTATCGTCAACTAGCTTTCTTTCATATCATAAGTTCCAAGATCGTTACATCAATCATGGGAAAAACAAAACTGACACCAACTAAAATCCAACAACTACGATGGTCATCCCTGAAAGAGCAACTCAAATCGTTAACCATATAGCGGACTTTACACAGTCATCCTTGTTTCCATAGATCCAAACATACTCAATGATATAAAAAAGGTTGAATTCTCAAACAAACTGACAAATCTAACAACATAGACGATAACAAGAAGCCAAATGACAGAATAAAAATAAATAATAGGAAAACCTCCACGAACTCTAGCACCTCGTACAACTCATGGCGTTGGTTCGGGAGGAGGTTGTATCCTTGGTATCACTCTAATTGATCCTCCATTTTCAATCGTCGTCTAGTCTAATCCAATTAAAAACATTTTTAAAATTATCATGGTATTATATTTTCTCACTTGCCATGTATCAGATATAAAGTTCATTTAAAATATACTTTGCTCAAAGATTTTTTTTTGGAAAAGTGTTCAGTTATTTAGTGCTAATACTTTGACTTTCACATAACTAAATTACTACCACCGGTTCTGAAAGATCTTTACACTTTCCATTTTTAGCAGTACCAGAAAGATCTTTACACTTCCTTATTTGCATTATTTGGCAAATAAATCTACACAAAACAGTGTCAAACAGTGCCGAACAGTGTACTCTACAGTAAAGTCAACTTTATTTTCTTAAAAACTGTGAAGTCAAAGTGTCAAGATCTTTTGGAACCGGAGGGAGTATAATTGAATTAACTATTTTTTACCAATTTATTACAAATTTTTTCTTAATCCACATAAATTAAGTACTACAAATTTTTTACATTCATATTCCTACACTTTTTTCTATAATAATTTTTTTTTCTCTTTTATGTTTGTGACGTTTTTAAGACATTAAGTTTGTTTATTTCGATTTAAATATGATAAAACATGAGATTACATTTTTCATATGTGTGAATTATGTTTATAGACAATTTCTGGAGTTATATTTGACAGTGTATGGAGTTACATCTTCTTGTGCACGAGTTACATCTATTTATGCACGAGTTACATTTGGATTTGCCTCAACAAGTTACATTTTGCACACACCTAAGTTAGATTTTCGATCAACGCGAGTTATATTTTCCATAACATGAGTTACATTACAAAATAAAGTCATACTATTGAAACAAAAAAAATATTTTTTGTGAATAATTATTATTTTTGGCAAACAAATGAATTTTCTTTAAAACATTTTTATGGCCTTAATCTTAAAAACCAAACATATTCACTATTTACTTAAATTAATTGAAAAATTAAACTCCTTGTTTAGAGAGTTACATCTGTTTATGCGTGAGTTACATCTTAATGTATGCGAGTTACACTACGAAATAAACTCTTTCTAATGATAAAAACGATTTTTAGCTATATCATTTTTTATAGCTCTAGTATTAAAAAACATATTCACTATCTACAAAAACTAATTGGTCAATTATGATCAATTTTTCATTGTTTACATTAAAATCAATGTTTAATATATATATATATATATATATATATATATATATATATATATATATATATAGGGGAGGGTTCAAATACAAAGAGGTCTTCCCATGCAAAGTGAGAATTACTCTTGTGCGTTCATTTCGAGATCTAATGGCTCAAAATGAACCAAAAGTGAACTAAATTTGATCAAAAACGCGGTGGTAATTTCGTAATTAAAACGAAGTTTTTTGCCATCGCGAAAAAGTGCAACAGAAACACGCAAAAGTGCAACGCGGTGCTGAAAAAGTGCAATTGTTTACACTTTGCACGGGAGAACCTCTTTTTATTTGATCTCTTCCCTATATATAGGGGTGAGTTCTAATACAAAGAGGTCTTCCCATGAAACGTGAGAATTAATCTAAGCCTTTGATTACCTAAAAATGGATGGTATAGATCAAAACTCACGATCAACCAAAATGTGTAATACATAATAGCAAAAGTGCATATGCAAAGAGTGCATCTTTACATCATTTGTACTGCATAGTGAACTTCAAAGTGTTGCATATTATTGAGTTTGTAGGTTAGTAAGTTAAACATGGTTTGTATGTGATCTCACCCCTATATATATATGTATATATATATATGTATATATATATATATGTATATATATATATGTATATATATATATGTATATATATATATGTATATATATATATATATGTATATATATATATATATATATATATATATATATGTATATATATATATACATATGGAAGAGTTCAAATGAAAAGTGGTCTTCCCGTGCAAAGTGCAAAGTTTTCACTTTTTCATGTTTCGCTTGCACTTTTTGTTGTTTGCGTTGCACTTTTTGGCCATTTTGATTTTGGCCAAATTCGGCCAAAATGACGGTAGCAGTTTTGTAAATAAACCAAATTTTTTGAGCTATCGCGAAAAACTACAACGAAAGCAAAAAAAAGTGCAAGCGAAACATGAAAAAGTGTAAACTTTTCACTTTGCACGTTAAGACCTCTTTTTATTTGAACCATCCCCTATATATATATATATATATATATATATATATATATATATATATATATATATATATATATATATATATATATATATATATATATATATATATATATATATATATATATATATATATATATATATATATATATATATATATATATATATATATATATATATATATATATATAGGGGTGAGTTCTAATACAAAGAGGTCTTCCCATGAAAAGTGGGAATTAATCTAAGCCTTTGATTACCTAAAAATGGATGGTATAGATCAAAACTCACGATCAACCAAAATGTGTAATACATAATAGCAAAAGTGCATATGCAATTTGTAATGGTGCACATTCACCTTCTAAAAAAATATCATGAACGATGTTTATACTTGTTATGTTTTTCCCGAAAAGTGATTCACTTTTTAGTTTGTCTAATGCACTTTTTCTCCGTAGTGATGCACATTTGTCACATTAGTTTTCAAAAAAGTTTTTAATAATTACACTTTTGGCACCGAATTTTTCCCTTAAAAATTGATCTGATCCACTCATTTTCTCATTTTAAAGGCTAAGATTACTTCTCATTTTTCATATAAGGAGTACTTTGTATTTGAATCTCTCTCTCTCTCTCTCTCTCTCTCTCTATATATATATATATATATATATATATTTATATATATATATATATATATATATATATATATATATATATAAGATAGTGTACATTTCAACTTTTCTAGATTTACATCTAAGCGAGATACACCACTAAATATATGTTAATGGTCAAACAATGTGTTTTTAACTATATCATTTTTATAGCCCTAATATTAAAAATAAAACATATTCGTTATTTACAAAATGTAATTGGGTAATTAGGATCAATTTTTCATTGTTTACATTGAAATCAATTTTTTTCTTCTTATATTCCGTTTTAGATAACCTACATTATTTCAACTTGACTCAAGTTACATTTCCTATCAACGTGATTTACATTTGTTTATACTAAAAAAAGCATTGTTCATTTGTGCGTACGGTTGATCCGTGCTTTTAGCCCTGGGAGCATGGTGCTTATAGTGGGCCGGTACCACGATATACTAATATCTTTATCTTAATATTTTTATAATAATATTATATTATATAATGTTATATAATAAAGTAGTAAAGTTCCTACATTTTTGAGGTAAAGTTCTTGCTCATTTAAGGGTATAATTGAAAACAACTTTGTCATATAAAAAAGAAATTACTAGTGTGATTATGGAAGTCTTAGCATATAGAAACAAGTATATTGGAAAATCTTAAGCAGAATCTGTGGAATAATGGAACAGGTTATCCTCGAAAGAGCCCTGACAGACAGGGGCGGCTTTGAGGTCAGTTGGGCCAGGCAACTGCCTTGGACCTCAACTACCAAGGGGGCCTCCAAAAAATTCTACTCCAATATTAGTATTAGTTGTTATTCGCAGACCGCCAATACACCAAGCGGCAACTGCAAGCAGAAATCGGCTTTATAGTTCACTTTTGACTATCCGTCCTTCATCAAATTTGAAGCTAATGAAGTCTTCTATCCAACAAAACTTGCAAAACTGGATTTGAATCATCCAATAAAAATATATGAATTAAATGGTGGAAGGTCGCATTCTGAAATCTCAACAGAGATTGTCTGACTTCATCGTCTGTTTTCACCTTGCTTCTCTCAGATTCTCACAATGGTGTCTTCATATGATTTTTAGCCCTTGAAGTTGGCTTTCATATGAAACTTCAATCATGTTTTTTGGATGTTCCTAAGAAAAGATATGCTCGAACGATTGACAGAACGTCATCCCGATCGTTGTTTTCAATCTCTAT